GGACATGTCCATTTATAAGTGCGTCTGCACAAGGCATGATCAGTGATCACAGATTTGGTTTTGTTTCAGCCAGTGTTTCACCTTTTCATTAAATGTTTTCAGATTCCTTTGTGTTTTCATTTCTGTTGGCAGGGAATTCCTACAATGGATCCCTTTTACAGAGAAGGACGACTAATCGAAAGTGGTTTTGCGCTGTGCCACCTTGCAGTTGAAATTTGGTCATCCCCTAGTGGCGATTCTATTAGTATTTGTTTTTAAGTACAGCTGGAGCAAGATTATTCACACATTTAAAAATCAAGTTGATAAAAGAAAACTTAATAAAACAATCATAACTAAGCAAATTATACTTTTTCACTCTTATACAATGATGCCATTTCATTTGTTTTTGATCCATTATTTTCAGTGCTTGTTTATATAGTGATATAATGGGTTTAAGAGTTGACTGTGAAGCCTGGCTCCATACAGTAACACAATAAGAAAGATGGGAGAATAGCATAGCATGCAAAAAAAGTTGAGCTGTCTTGAGGGGTAAATATTATCTAATCATTTTAAAACAGTTTAAATTAGTCTTTACAGTTTTGCATAGTTTTTTAACATGTTTATCAAATTTAAGTTCGGGGTCCAAATGACACCTAGAAATTTAAAATCATTGACTTCCTCTATTTCCTCTTGATTTATTCTAATTATAAGCTTTTCTTTTGCTTTCCTTCTCATGGAAAAACACATTGAATCTGAAAAAGACTGTCAGAGTTAAGTGATTGTTTTTAAGCCATAGAGAGACTCCCTCCATTCCGCTTGTTAATATGTCTGCTGCTACACAGGGGGTTTTGGCTGATACATAGATAATTGTGTCATCAACATACATCTGACATCCAGCTTTTTTAAAGCATGATGGTAAGTCGTTTATGTATAGGCTGAAGAGCAGAGGCCCCAAAATCGAGCCTTGTGGAATTCCCATTGTAGATTGTCGGGGGGTTGAATATTCTGCATTGATTTTTACACACTGCTCTCTTGATTCGAGATAGGATGCAAACCAGCCAGGTGCTTGCTCTGAAAAGTTAAAAGTTCTGAGTTTGTTCAAAAGCACTTCATGGTTCACAGTATCAAAGGCCTGTTTAAGATCTGCTCCGACTACATCACCCTTATCCAATGAGGACTTGATGTTTTCAGTGAGGTAGCAGTTGGCAGTTGAATACCCCGGTCTAAATCAAAATTATTTAGGATAAATAAGAAAATTATTTTCAAGGTTGTCAACCAGTTCTGCAACAATGTTTTCCAGAATCTTTGAGAGAACTGGTAGGATAGAGATTGGTCTATAATTGCTTACTTGGCTTTATGACCGCTGTTTTCCAGGTTTGTGGAAATTTACCAACTCTGATGGAAAGGTTTATCAGATGTGTTATTGGTTTGATCAGAGTGGAGCTATGTGTTTTAATAACAGCAATATCCAACCAAAACCAGTCCTCTGCCTTTGAATTATTTAATTCATTGATGATTTTAGCAACTTTCTCTTGGTCAACTTTCTTAATATGAAAGGACTGCAAAGAGTCTGAAAAATTAAGAGATCCCTAATTGATCCACTACTAAATTGTCAAAAGTCATGAAGACTCAAGCGAGCGGAAATCCACTGCGCGAGCAGAAGCACAATGCGTGCGAGCAGGATTCCACTGCGCAAGCAGAGTTATCCTTTGAGAGCAAACCAGGCGCTCGCTCGCAGAAACCTGTACAACTCTCGGTTGTTAAATTTCTGCACGAGTGTTGTATTGCGTGGGAAGCTTAATTTTTGCGCGTGTGGAATAACATAATTTATGACTAAAAATAAACGCCATAATTGTACAGGATTACAATATTAAAATTCATCTGGGGGGACAGTGCTATATTTAAGGCTAGACATTCCAAAGATGTGTCCAGTTTGATTTCATTATATTTAAGAATATGTCTTACATAAAATAATACGCCCCCTCCCCTGCCAGATGATCTGTCCTCTCTATAACAAACATAGCCAGGAACTGCATCATACTGGTTGCGATGTTAGGAATAAGCCAGGTTTCACTCAGAGCTAGGAAGTCTAGGTTAGAGTCCGTCAGTAGATGTTGAATCTGATCTCCTTTTGATATTATACTCCGGATGTTCAAGATTCCACCCAGGATACCCTTAGGTCTAGACACAGAGTCCCAAATCACCTTTACATGATTTACAGTCTGGAAAAATCCAAGTTGATGTTGTTTTTGTGCTGATTGGATATCTGTTTTACATTGTGTTTTTAAAGTTCCATTAGCTGCGCTTATCATCCACTCTGGCAGCTTAGGTTGCTTGTGAAAGTGTGATTGTTCACACTCACCAGACAGATCACGTCCATCCGGGTGGAAAACGGGGCAGACAGGTGGGCCGAGGTTCCGTTGGTCGATCGCAACATGCGGCACGCCCCTCAAGCAGAAAGGTCAGCTGATATAACACAGAGTCAGTATTATACTGAGAGCATACCGTTAGGAATTTTGGACAGGGGGACAAACCAACTTCTTAGTTCTAATACAAACACGGGCAGTTTCAAAGAAGCTCTTGGCCGTTAGCCTTATAGTGACACAGATGGAGTCCCTAACAATTATTTCCAAATTCAGCGTTATAGATTCATCCAGGCCGCGCTCACATGTATATTCAATTACTCAATATGATTATAAAGCACAAAAGGTCAATACCTTTTTTTAATTTAAATTAGACTGTGACAGTTATGTTCCTCATTTTAACTTAAAACAAGGAGACAGAAAAATGCCCTTCAATGATTTGCTGATTAGAGAACAGTAAAATCAAACATTGTAGAAATGACTGCAAAGCATTAAATCATACAGTTTAATTATGAGTGAACGAATACACATACTTGATCTATCAAATTCAGTTTTGAGGACTACAGTAATCAACGTATTGGTCAAATTATGTACTAAACTGAAATACTGTTTAGAGTATATGGCTGTGAGCTGAAATGATGATCATATAAACAGAGGTTTACCACATGTATAGCTTATTCTACTGTAACCATAGTAGCATCTGTATCCTCTGACCTGTGATGTGCTGCTGACTAGTGTTTACTGTAGGGCAGGTTTCTGGAGGCTGTTACAGGGGAACTTGTGGCTGTTACTAATCTTTATTCATATAAAGGGAAACACAAAATTCAGGTGACGATTCCAAATATAACAGAATATAATGCAGTAAAGCTCTCAGGCATTCTGTGTTGCTTTTAGATATAGGCTATCTTTTCTCCTGTAGTGTAACTCTTACAAGGTTGTTTTTGTCATTTTACAACACAGGGCTGCTGTCTAATGAAACAGAAGCTTGTAGTCCCTTCATGCTGCACACACAGAACTTAACAAATGAATATATTAATCTGAATACAAATTAAATGTGAAGGATGAAAATATTTCCTCATGTCTTTGTCTTGGGAAGTAACCTGTTTAAATATGACTGTGGCACCTTTTCACCTCAATGATATTAAATAATTTTAATTCAGACAGAATCTCCTGCACTTTAGCTCGCGTGTTTCAGAAGGTTTCTGCTCATTTGGCCCCTTCAGAACCGTTTGGGACTGTAGGTACTACTGCATGGGAGGAGGAGGTGGATAAACGAAACTTGCTGAATTCAATCAGATGGCAAGTTTGAAATATGTTTTAATGATAATAAAACATTTATTTATCATGTAAATATATCTAAAACGTTTTGTTATTTAGAAAAGACAGTAATAAAGTGTCTAAGTTGATCCCATTTAAGGGTTGACCATAGACCTTGCATGGGCCCCCCCTAGGCCTTGGGCCGGGGTCATCTGTACCCGTTGACCCCCCCTGACGGCGGGCCTGAGAGCATACCACGTGCCTCTTTTACCAGCATTTTGTTTGTTGCTGTTTGATGTCATGTAGGAATATTTCTTTCGCCTCGTGATAGAGTAGATTACAAGATATCCATGTCCAAAGAAATTCCATTTCGGCATTTCCTTTGAGAATGCAGTGTGGTCTGTTAATTTTAGCATTTGTTTTTCCATGTTGTCCACATTAAAGCATTGTCGTAGTGGCACCAGCAGAAGCCAACAGCAAAGCAGCACCTTTATTTTTGTTTTAAATTCAGATTTCAGCCTCCCCCCTCTGCTTCTGTCAGAAGGGGAAACTTTAGCCCAGACTAACTAAACCTTGACTGAAAGACAGACCACATCACTGTCTTGTTTTAAAATGATGTGCGTCCGTACATGTGTTGGCTCGTTCTCACAGAGGTTGCTGCTGGAATGCGACGCAGTTCTCTTTTCCAAGCTGCGGCTTATAAACCCTGTTGGCGTTTAGAAGTAGGCTAAGAAATAGTGGGATGGTTTGAGACGTTTTTATGAATGAAAGTAAATCACAAATTTTAGAACTTGAACTTCTTCACTGCAATTGCAGGAATATTTTAATGGGCTACTTAAAAAAATAAAGTCATCAAGTTGCCTAGTCTGAGGCAATAGACAGTCCATTTTTGGACTCTGATAGCCATCTTGACCTTTCCTCATGAGGGGACACAGGTCCTGCACAACAAAACATCCCCACACTACCATGGATAGTAGTGGTGCAACCCGTGCTATGGATCCCTTCCACACGGTGCAGATTGATTACAAAGTTTATGATGATTTATCCTGTTTGACCTCTCAAAATATCCTTTATTCTGGAAATGTCAGAGAACCCAGTTAGATTCTGAATGTGCAGAAATTTGAACATGAGCAGAAAACTGCTGAAACACAGGAGCTATTAAAGTCCAGGAATTTCTAACTGAATTAAAATGATTTCGTTTATTATTGTAGAGGTAAAAAGGTGCCACAGACTCATTTAAAGAGGTTACCTCAATCAGTCACGTCTGCGTTGATTCAGCAGTGATGATATTAAAAGTTGATCTACAGGAGAAACATATCTGAAAGCTGACAGCTGCTCTGCATTATATTCTGTTACAGTTTCAGATTTTAAATTGTTGTATTAAACCAGAAAATGAGGAAAGGCCATCTTCTATCATCTCTCCAGACTCTGTCAGGCTGCTGGACGGGACTAGTCTGTGCTCAGGCAGACTGGAGGTGAAGTCTAACCAGTCTAACCAGAGGTGGTCCTCAGTGTGTGAAGCTGACTTTGACCAGCAGGATGCAGAGGTGGTCTGTAGGGAGCTTGGCTGTGGGGCTCCTTCAGTCCTCCAGGGGGCGCTCTATGGAGAAGTGGAGGCTCCGATGTGGACCAAAGAGTTCCAGTGTGGAGGCCATGAGTCTGCTCTCCTGGACTGTAGAAGCTCAGGCTCAGCTAGAAACACCTGCTCACCTGGAAAAGCTGTTGGACTCACCTGCTCAGGTAGAAGAGGAGCTGCAGCTTTGATTTGCTTCATTTCTCTTCTGATGAAACTCACTTTATTGTTTTACTGATGACTCTCTGGTTTCTGTTCAGAGCCTGATGATGTCAGGTTGGTGGGAGGAGCCAGTCGCTGTGCAGGAACACTGGAGCTGAAACATCAGGGAGACTGGAGACCAGGGAGTGACCTTCTCTCTGACTGGACCCTGGAGACAGCAGCTGGTGTCTGTAGAGAGCTGGACTGTGGCTCTGCTGTTTCTGTAGGAGAGAGAAAGGAGTCCTCAGTCAGACCTGTGTGGTGGATCAGGTCTGACTGTGTTCAGTCTGGATCTGCTCTGAGGAAGTGTGCACTATCATTTCCCTCTTCTTCCATCCTGGATCTCACCTGCTCAGGTAAGCCCATCAGTGACATCATGTATGACATCATGTATGACAGTAATGTCTCCAGTGTGTCCTCTCCTCTGTCTCAGTGTCTCAGTGGTTTCCATTGGACTGAACTGTAAAGTTCTCCAGGACAGTGACGTCCTAAAGTGTAGAGAGGTGGGCTTGTTTCTGGAAGCTTCACCTGACAGGACACACCTGGAGGAACCTGTCTGTCTGTCTGTCTCTGTGTTTGGGGACGTCCCACCAGGTGGATCCAGTCCCTCCTTTTACAGTCTGTCATCGCTCTGCTCCATGTTTGTTCCCCGTGTCAGACCTGTGACATCACTTCCTTCTTCAGGGGCCATTTTGTTGAACGGAGGGTGAATGTGACCTTTCATCATCTGTGTGTTTACAGACCTGCTGCTTCAGCCCAACATCTCTGTGTTTTGGCGGTTTGGTTGTTCGCAGTAGTTTTGTTATTTTTTCTCCCTCCCTTATTGGCTACTGGGGTTCTTGGCTGCCTGTTTCTGGGGTCGGTGCAGCACAGTTGTGGCGTCACACTCTCACTAACAACTACATTCTGTAACAGGCTTATGCACGCACACACACACACACACACAGACACACACACACACACACACACACAGACACAAACAAATGTAGGTTGTCCCTGGTAGAATTATTCTTGATGCTTTTCTCCCAGTTACTCATTTAAATGAATTGTTCTGATTCCAGCTCTCCTGGCTGTGCTGTGTTCTTTATTTATTGTGCTTGACTGTTTCTTGTTTTCATTTCTCTCTCAGTTGTCTTCCTATATCAGCTGTTGGTTGCTGTTCGGCTGGTCGTCTCTTTGTTTGTTTGTTTGCCCCCCTCCCCGTTCTCTTATTGTCCTTTCTCTGTGCTGTCTGTTTGTGCCCCCCCATCCCCGTGTCTGCCCCCCTGGTGACAAATCAATGCATAATTAAATAAACAATAAAACAGACAAAGGATGATATTAATACTCTCTTGTTAAAGTAAAATCTGTCTGGCATCCAGCTCATCATACTCTCTACCAGGCTGCTGGGCAGGACAGGTTGAAAAAATAAAATAAAATCAAACCTGAAAGAAACAATGATTTGACCTTTATCCTGAGAATAATCCATGTTGAGTGAGATGAAATGTTTTATCGTGGTAACATTTTCGGCCGTATTGCCCAGCCCTGAGTACCAGCACCTATATTTTCCACTTCAAGCACTGATTAGAGGTGGTGGCAGAAAATGTTACCAGAATGCAGGAAGTGACCCCCCCATGTATTTCCACATTGAACATTTCATCAAAACAGTGCACACTTATCTTCTCATCTTGTTCTTGTGAACCCAGTATCGTGGTTCCTCATGTTTCCTGAGCTAAGTGTATGTCACACCCCTAATCTGAGCCCCTATGTCCCCATCACTTTTCAACACAGAGTCAGGCTCTGGCCCCCCACCCTCCATCTTTGCAGTAAACCCCGAACACATTTCAAGCACAGAAAGATTTCTTGCTTTAAGCCCTGACACCACAGACTGCAGATAAAAAAGATATACGGAGGAAAACAGCACTGCGTTTCTGTTTTTCCAAATGTACCTGTAATCTGATGACGTCTTTATTTTCTGTACTGTACCTGTTACGGGGCCCAGGGATGGGTACCTCAGTCACAGATATGTAACCTGTATGAAAGCAGGTGAAACAGCAGCAATGA